GAAGCAGAATTCACTTTATGTTATGCAGGCCAGAGTATGTAGCGGAGATGCCAATGTAGCAGATGATGCCTCCGGTGATTTGTGGCATAAGAGGCTTGGCCACATGAGTCAAAAGGGCATGCAGATCCTTTCCAGGAAAGATTATCTCCCCGACATTTCAGGTATGCCTTTAAACTCTTGTGTTGATTGTTTAGCTGGAAAACAACACAGAGTTGCATTTCATACTCGTCCCCCACATAGAAGAAAGCATGCTTTAGATCTTGTTCATACTGATGTTTGCTCTATGGATGCTAGATCACACCGTGGTGCACAATATTTTGTGACTTTTATTGATGATTTTTCTAGAAAAGTGTGGGCTTTTGTTTTGAAAAATAAAGACCAGGTACTTGAAGCTTTTAAGGAGTTTCATGCCAGAGTTGAAAGAGAAAGTGGCAGAAAGCTCAAGTGTGTCAGATCAGACAATGGTGGCGAGTACAGGGGTCCATTTGAGAATTATTGCAAAAGTCATGGCATCAAGCTTGAGAAGACAGTTCCAAAGACACCTCAACTTAATGGAGTTGCAGAAAGAATGAACAGAACAATTGAAGAGAGAATCAGGTGTATGCTATCTCATGCTAAGCTGCCAAAGTCTTTTTGGGTGGAGGCAATGTTCACTGCCGTGTACCTGATTAACCTTTCCCCTTCAGTTCCTCTTGAAGGTGATGTTCCTCAGAGAGTTTGGTCAGGGAAAGATGTCTCCTATAAGCATTTGAGAGTCTTTGGCTGTAGAGCATTTGTTCATATTCATAGAGATGAGAGATCCAAGCTTGATAAGAAGACCAAAGAGTGCATATTTTTGGGGTATTCAGAGGATGAGTTTGGCTATAGACTATGGGATCCACGTGATAGGAAAGTGATCAGAAGCAGAGATGTGGTTTTCTTTGAAGATCAGACTATTGAAGATTGTGAGAAGAAGCAGGCAAATCCTTCTCCATGCATCACAGTTGATCCAGTTTTACCTCTTCCTCCTGTTGTAGTCCCTCAAGATCATGGGGGAGATATGCATGATCATACAGTTGAGTCTCCTGCAGATGACCTTTATGATGATGATAATCATGATGATGGTGGTGATGATATTCTAGAGTCACAACCACATTCAGAGTCACTACCACCTCAGTTGAGAAGATCCACCAGAGTCAGAAAACCTTCCACAAGACATTCGGAGGATGATTTTGTGCTAGTCACGGATGGAGGAGAGCCAGAGACATATGATGAGGCTATGTCACATGTGCACCGCGAGAAGTGGTACGATGCCATGCAAGATGAGATGATGTCCTTGCATGAGAACCACACATATGAGCTTGTAGAGTTGCCTAAAGGCCAGAGAGCACTCAAGAACAAGTGGGTATACAGACTGAAGTATGATGAGAGTAGCTCACAACCAAGGTACAAGGCAAGATTGGTTGTGAAGGGTTTCAGTCAAAAGAAGGGCATAGATTTTGATGAGATATTTTCTCCAGTTGTGAAGATGACCTCTATTCGAGTTATACTTGGCTTAGCTGTGAGCATGGATTTGGAGATTGAGCAACATGATGTGAAGACAACATTTCTTCATGGTGACCTCGATAAGGAAATCTACATGGAACAACCTGAGGGCTTTCAAGTTAAGGGAAAAGAGAACTTAGTTTGCCATTTGAAGAAAAGTTTGTATGGTTTGAAGCAAGCACCTCGGCAGTGGTATAAGAAGTTTGAGTCCTTTATGATTGATCATGGCTTCCATAAAACACATGCTGATCATTGTGTGTTTGTGAAGAATTACCCCGAAGGTGACTTTCTTATTCTCCTTTTATATGTAGATGATATGTTGATTGTTGGACAGGACACCAAGAAGATTTCCAGCTTGAAGAAGTCATTGAGTAAGTCCTTTGCAATGAAGGACTTAGGCCCTGCTAAAGAGATTTTAGCCATGAGGATCACGC